GTTGCGATTTACATCTCAACACGGTCTTCAGTTAGCTTGATACACTTGATACAGCAATTCTGCAACTTCTTTAAGCTCCGATTCAGTATAAATTTATATGCGGCGATGAAGTTTTTCKTGTTTGAAAACAAGAATATCAAGAAACAAGTAAAAAAGTGAAAAGTTCGGGCTTATCCGAATATTTTATACCCTTGCAACTTCCTGGAATCAAAGTTTKGGAAATTCCTKCAGGTGCTGACAAAACTTCATGTTAAAGACTGGTGTGAAATAATTATTCGATAAAATCGTGAATACGATCGAAATTGGCATTTTCTGGACTTATATTGGGGGTACAATTAATATGGCACAGGCTAACAAAATGTTCTCAAGGTTTCATCAAAGTAATRGTAAGACTTTACAATTTAAATTTCGAGCGGAAACTCATTCGTCGAAATATATTCTTTTAGGTTGTTTTGACTGCAGTGAAATCTGTGCTAAATGTCACATCAAAATAAACACTAGTGGTTAGTATACGCTTGTCTTTCTGAAGTACATAAAGTGTATTCACCTATTTTTACGATGAGTGAAATTATAATAAAATAAAATTTCTGGAGCTGAATCGTTCAGAGTTTTGAAAAAGGCGCATGATGATAATTACTTGTCCCGAGCAAGTGTTTTTGATTAGTAAAAACTATTCAAAGTGAGTCACGAACTCGTCGGCCATGACGGCCATCCACATCAACTGATGATCAACACACCAATAAAATATTGGAATTGGTGCCTGAGAATCAACGATTAACAGTCGAAGATCAGAAAAAAATCTGTGGAAACTATTTTGGAAGGTCTTTTGTGCCTAAGAAAATTGAAGCACGATTGGCTCCAAAATCACAACATTTTTGCGAAAAACAGCGTCGGGTTAACGCATGTGAAGCAATGGTTTTCGACTAGATGGATGCCATGAAACGTGACACCGGTTGCTATCAAGCAGTCTTCCTGGATATACAAGTTAATGCTTCTGGCGTATTTAGTTATTAATAAATGKCACTTTCAGTAATTTTTAAAAGTTCCGGGATTATGATCTAATTTGATCCATTTTCACAATATCGRTAGGGGTTCTTACAAGATTTATGTTGAGAGAGTACGGTTAATTTACCCTGAATAGTTTAGAAATATGTACATTAATGCCGGAGACAAGCTAATCTTTTCAAAATTTTCAGGTACTGCGACCCTCGKTGCCAAATTATCTGTGGCAAATTATCTTAATTCARTGTTTAGTTATGGCACTTTATAGSTTCGTTAAAYRTCGTTTTGTAGGCGTGRTAKTGGCCCAATTAYGCTCATTTTCGAACTCATCCTCTTTTCTTTGCCAAAGAATTTGTCTAGAAAATTGTATTAATTTTTAAATTTTTATGCAAGCTATCGAACACACAGTCACTCGGATTTCAATTCATTATACACTTGTGCTCACATAATTAAGCCACTGCATAGCAAAACTACGTTTCTGAAAATAAATTCACCGAATTAGCTTTTCATTTGTATAACGGTATGCAAAAAAGTTCCGTTATATGTTAGGAAGTTACTAAGATCATATTCAGAGAAATAAGTATCGTGGTTGGGGAAAAAATGAAAACAAACT